GATCCTAGCACTTTATACAGACATTTTTATTATTTAAATAGGAATAAACAATAGATCTCAATTAGATCTTTTCAGTGAATTTCCTTCTGTTGGTATTACCTCTAATTAAGAGCTGCACTGACAGCATTTATAGTATGTAAAACTCACAAGACTACAGCCGGTCCCTGAGTTGCAAACGGTCGACTTAAGACCGTTCGCAGCTACAACCAAAGCTGTCGTAAATGGCGGACCCCAAGTTATGAACGCGATCCACGCTTACGAACAGCGCGGTCACATATAACTCTCTGGGGTCCGACTTATGAATGAACTGAGTTACGACCAATTGCTTGGTCGGTAACTGGTTCGTAAGTCGGGAAGAGGCTGTACAGTGTATCACTCTCCACTCCTGCAGAAAAGGGCCTGTTTGGTTTTTTTCACCTGGGATTACAGCCAATGGACACGGAAGAATTTGGCTCTATTGCCATAGTTGTGCCCCAAAATTAAGAGATTTCAAAATCTGGGGGATTTTTAAAGCAGGAATCATGGAGTCAGCATCGAGATTTATAGAAACATCTCATTTGGTTTTACTGTAATTACAGAAGTGAGCGCTCAGCTAGATTGCACAGACAGACATGGGCCAAGACATCCAAGCTCTGATGCCAGTGACAAATGGTTAACTGATAAGAAGAAATGGGGAGGACGACAATCTGAAAAACAGGTCAATAACATGCTGTCTTGAAGCCATTTGAGAAACATAATTAATCTATTACTCACCTGGCATCATCATTCATTGTGCAGTGGTCAATAGGTGCCATGAAGCTCACCAGTTTGCTATGGACATGATACCTGAACAAGGGAGGAAAGAAACAGACAGCACATTAGTAACTATTAAAGAAAAGGAAATGTCATTCCCTGCTCAGAAATGTCCCACTCCCCAACAAGGAAATGCTGGCTTCACTGTTGGCTAGTGCTTAAAGACTCCCTATGTACAGCTGGTAATTTTATTGCTCTTCCAAAGAAGAAGGAAAAAAATGTCAGATGATAACATGCCACATGGTTCATGAGCAATAACAAACAAACCACTTCTTAATCACAGCCGAAAGCGCAATACAACAGCGTCCTTAAGCAGCTATTTGCACCTGAACTTTATCCCTAGACAGAAAAGACTGAGGCATCCAAGACGCCACGTGCACCTTCTTCCACTAACGGTGTCTTTGTCACTCGTCAATACTGGTGTCCAAAGAAAAAGCCATCGGTGGAAGCACGGTTAGATGACTAGCGGCTTTCCCACAATACTAGTCTCCCATCCAGCCAAGACTGAGGCTCCATTGGGCTAGCTGCTACATAAACATAGTAAGAGAGAACCCTTCTCCTGAACAATTTCCAGTTTAAAAAGACAAAACAGACAAAGGGGGAGGCAACAACAGAGGCACGGAAAGGACTTGCCCAAGGTCATACAGTGGCGGAGCTTCCAACTCCAGTTAACTGTCCACTAGAACAAGCTGCCTCCCAGAGATACACCACCCCTGTGAGTGCTCAATCCCCAGTTTGTTTTTCCCAGTAGGTCAGAAGCTTACAAAAGCCTGTCCATCCCGCCTGCTCTGGGACATGCACAATAAAATCTAAACAGGCTACAGAGACACTCAGAACCAACCACTGGTTTTAAACCCTTTGTCTTTTGAGCAGGAGATTCCAACCCAATAGTTTTCTGTGTAAGCTATTTTGCTGGCTGCCTGCATCATTTGTATTCCTACACCTTGATGAACAGCCATCGAAAGAATTCACAAACCACCTATCCACTTGGGCATCTTTGCACTCCTTTTTGTTCTTGTATCCAGGGCCATTCCCTGGAGAGCATTTTAGCTGCATGAATATCACCAAACGGCTTTTCATGCAAATAACCACACTCACCCTTGAACATGGACCTTTGTGCACAAACACGGGTCTTTGTCATTCCTAACAGAACCAACCACTTGCTTATCATGCGGCAGAGTCATCCAACCAGAGAGCAGAAAGATTACCGTGACTTAGGGCAAACATATGCCACAGACAACAAAAAAAATCAGTAGGATGAAATAAGTTAACAAATTTCATTCTATAGGGTCACTTAAGTGATATTAACAATGAATGCATTGGTCCAAATCGCAGTATGTTCAGGGATAATTTGTAAATTGGAAAAAAGGGCTTAATTACGCCAATAAATTGTCCACCATTAATTGTTTGCCCAGCTCTAGTTTCTCTCATACTTTTAAAATGTGAGCTTCCAAAACCCCAGCCCATCAGATATAAAGTATTAAAAGAGACACAGTGAGACATCCCAATTCATGGTTGCAAAATTATTCCATGAGAAGCAGAAATATACATCTCATAGATATCCACCCCAGGAATCTATATGGTCTAATGGGTTAGGGAAGGGATTCAGGAGACAGGATTCCTGGGTTCGCTTTCCACCAAGAGTCACTGTGTGACCATAGGCAATTCTCACCTCACCCTCTGGTACCTCAGTTTCCCCATCTGTGAAATAGAGATAGCTCTCATCTTCCTCAGTGGTAAAAGGCCTGAGGCATCTACAAGTGCTCTGAGAAACCTAGATAGCATTTTATGCTTACACGGTGCCCTTCGTCCAAACAAGAGGTAGCATAATGATACTGGATTACAATGACATGTGATAGCAATTAATCTTTATTGCTTCCACATCACATTTCACACCCAGATCTCCAAGTGCTTTACAAAAGATAAGTGACATTTATCCACGTTCTGTAGAGGAGGAAGCTGATATGAAGGTTAAGTGAATCACTCAAGGTGACACACACACAGTGTGTCCCAGTAGCAGAGCCAAAAATTGAAGCCCCCCTCCTTCCCAGTTGCCAACCCGGTCCACCAGACTGCCCTGGAAAGATGATAGGATTTAATTGTGTATTAATTACATACATCAGCAAATAATAGACAGAAATAAGAAAATAGTTAATATTTTCTCCCTGTGTCAGTGCAACTCACTGAAAAAGATAGCTAACAAGTAACAAAGCCACGAATGTGGACGTATTTCTGATCTCTCAGGAATAAATTCCTGGTTCACACTCAGAGAAACTTGCCTTATTATTTCTAAAGGTTTCTGAATCTGACTCAGTTATGTGATGTTGTCAGTGGTTTTGACTGAATCATGAATATATCCAATTATGTGTGATGCTGACAGAAAAGAATATTGATAGTCAATAATTACAGGGTTTTCAGGCCAACAAAGTAGCTCTTCCTTCTTTTAATAAATTATCTTTTGACATCTATCTTAAAAATGGTTATGCCAGGCTTGACCCACGCTGACTCCACTGACTTTCTATCAGATGTCATCTAAACTCAAGATTTATAGTTTACTCACAAAGGGTTAGTTAATGTTGCAGATTTTTCAAGAAACAGTTCAGCTTTCTAGCTTGTCTTCATGCCACAAAAAACTCTCCCTCTACAATTCAGTCACTTTGAACTCAGGGAGAGTAACGCATCTATTCTGCAAAG